TAGCCATCAAATCGCTTTTTCACCTGATACTTTTCGTTAGAGCTCGTCGAGAACTGCCCAGAACGCCGGAGATATGTGCTTTTGCAACCAATTTTTCAAATTTTGTTTTAAGTACATATCTCTTTGATTTTTGGGTCTGTGTTGATTTTAATCGCTTAGAACTCTTCGAAATAGACAGAATGACAATTAACATGTGACAGAACTATTGTATAAAAAAATGTTTTCAAAATTTTTTAATTTTCTTTTTATAAATTTTGTTGTATGTCAAAATTGTTTTTTATGTATTAGGAACTCTAGGTATTCACAAAATAAAGCTATTAAGCTGCTCAGAACTATTCGAGCTCGAATTTCGATAAAAAGTTAGCACCCCATTTTTTAAAAGTTGTTTAAAAATTGTTATTAAGGGAATCTCGAGTTAAAAAGTATAGAGAACTCTTCGTATCGTTGAAAGGAAGCAGGAACTCTATTCAGAACTATTGTATCTAAAAATTGATTTTTCAAAAATTTTTAATTTTTTTTTATTAAAAAAAAATTTTTTTTATGTATCAGGAACTCTAGGTATTCACGAAATGAAGCTATTGGGCCGCTCAGAATTATTGGATCTCGATTTTCGATAAGAAGTTAGCACCCCATTTTTTAAAAATGGCTTAAAAATATTTATTAAGCGGAACTCTTGTTATAAATTATATAGAACTCTTTGTCTCGTCAAAAAGAAACGGGAACTCTAATCGGAACTCCTGAGTACTATAGTTGGGGTGCTAACTTCACATACCCCGAATTTAGGGAAAAACGTTTTCTTTTTTATTATAATTTTATAATGTATTATGGAATAAGATATTAATCAGTAATAATACTCATATAAGAATCATTTTGTCTTGATTGTGGTCTAAAATTTGTTTAATGTATTAATTTAGTCCAGTTTTAGTCCATTGGGTCCTAAAATGGACGTTTTTAAAAAGTCCAAAATGGTAATACTGGATGTTTTTAAAACGTTTTTAAAATATCCATGGATCTAATCTGGACGTTTTTAATATGTCCAAAACGTCCAACATGTACGTTTTAAATACATTTTTAAAACGTTACTGTGCTGTATGGGATGTGCACTGAGTATGCACTAGTTTTGCTAATGAAAAACGTTATAAGCATGAGCCTTAATGGGTTAATATTTGTATATTATATATTATAATTTGACTTTATGATCTTAAAATATATTGTATATCTGTATTTAATTATTTTTCTTTTTTCAGAATCAAATAAAAATTAATTAGATGAAAATTAGAAATTCAATTTCGCGTTCTTTAGGATCTTCTAATTCAAAAGAGGTAAATCAAATTGAAGTGAATAATTTTTGTTAGGTTTTCCAATGAAATTGATGCTTCAAATTCAAATTCGCAGCTCACTTCAGTTTGATTCTTCTTTCAATCATTTTAACCGACCATTTTAACAAGAAAGATAAATTGACATTGATTGCAGATAATTGTCAAGTGCAATTCGTAATAAAATAATGAGATTGCAATAGCAAACGATAGGTAGAAAATTTTAATTATATATTTTTAATTAATTCAGGGGCGGCGAGGGAGAGAATGGACAGCCGATAACAAAAACACGCTGCTGCGAAAAGGCGGGAATCGGGAAGTTTGTTGAAATCATTGTCTCATTATAATTGTATCTCGGCGTTAATTACAAATTTTAAGACTATTGTAAATCATACTGTATGGACACTAACGGACTTTCGAGCGTTGTCGAAAGGGGGTGAAAAAAGCGTTGCGGTCGAGAACAGGCCAGGCAATCCGTATCGTCCGTCCTTATCTCGGTGAGCTTTAACCTCCAAATCTTTCTTTCAACAATTGTCTTCTAGTCGTGCGCGTCAGTGTGAATCACGCAAATAGCCTACTACAGGGGAACATTATAAATTGGAACAGGGTCGACAGGTTTAAGCAATAACGATCTCGACTCGATATCCGATTTGGAATGCAACGCAGTGGAAACGGAAGTTTAATAGATGCGCGCTTTTGCCGGTCCTACTAGACACAGCAGTCGCAATCATATGTTTAACGCAGACTTTACCACGAGTCTTTGATAAATTTTTAACGAGCTTAGCAATTTTTAAAAGTAAATGATCAGGCTCTGATTAACTTAATCGGCGATTAACACATTATAAATAACGCCAGTTTGTTAACATTAAAGTATCAAACTATCAAAAAGTAATAAATTACAATGAAAATAAAAAAATAATGAAAAATCAAATATTTTTTTAGAGTAAAATTATATAATTATTGAAAAATTAAAATATATTTCAGAATTTTATCTCTCTTTTAATAACATTAATCTAAAAAGGGAAGTAGGAATGGTCAATAATGGACCAATTGGTACTTCTATAGTATTAATATGGATAAAATTATTAATTCATTGTTTGATGCTGAGAAAGAAAAAAGGTTCAGGATAACAAATTATATAGTCTGAAATTTTGTCGCAATTGTAATTCTGCTGGTTAATCGTCGATTAAACGCAGACAGCCAAATCTTCGAGAATAGATTCTACAAAGTATTTTTTACAAATTTTGTTGACAAGAGAATCACATATTTAATTCAGGATCTATACATACAATATTGGACAATATATATTATAGGAAAATTTGTCAACGAAATATAATAGTAGAAATCAAACAGATTTTAACATACTTGCTACGGAGTTAGACGCAGATTGGAAGCAGAAATAGAACAGAATTTGAATACAAATCTATAAATTTTTAGAAAATTAATAAAATCTACTGTCACACAAATAATGTTAACAGGCTGTAAAGCATGAGATATTACACAGTTGTGGATACAGTTGATATCAATTTGTTAGTAATTTCTAATTGAATTTGTTGCCACTCGTGTTGGCATTGGACTGCTGACAGTTTGCTTACTATAAAATTAATCAGAGCCTGATCGAAGTGAGCGTAGGTATCAGTTTCGTGCAAAAGCGTGTTGCACGTTTTCTTACGTAAAAGCAGTTGTAATCATTTTAAAATTGCAATTCGTACAACTCTGCTTGTTTTTGGACGCATTACGGAGCGATGAATGAAGTATAGAGGGATACTTAGGAGATCATATTTCCGCGTTTATCATCGTGGATAGATGATACAAGTTGACGATTTGCTGAATTTCATAACGCTGCGCGAACCATGGCGATGCCAAGAAGTGCCCTAAATTGCAAGAAGGAGAGATAAGCAGCTATCTATTACTCCGAATTGATGAATAAGTAATTTATGGATACGCGGACATCTAAATATTACCTACAAATTAACAACGATTTAGTCAGTTTTACAGTCGCATAGAAACTAGAGCGCTTTCCCCGCAAATGTCTATTAATCATCTTCAAAATCTTGCTTGTTAACAGAATGACGCGCTAACAAAATAAAAAATACGAAATACAAATTAACAAATCAATGAATCAATTTGTGAGAATAATTAAAGCTTACATAGAATTTCTACAAAATAAGGAATATTGTTATTGAGATGAACCATATGAAAAAAATAATTAAAGCTCACGTGGAACTTAATAATGATATTTTAATATTTTAAATATTGTTAATCAATTATAAAGTTAGGAATTTTTGTAGTCTAAACATGTAATCTTGAGAAACGTTATCAAATTCATTTATAAGCATTTGAATTAATCATGTATCTATTTTATACTTTTTCTATCTTTTTTATGTGAATTTGTACAATACAAAATTTTATTTAATTACGCACCGACTTCAGTGCGTTGATTCTTATTTACCCCTAATATTTTTAATTATTATTATTCTCACACATTAAGGCCGGTATTCAGTTCGGATCTTATATTTAAGACTGTCTTAAGTACAATCTTAAGATGTCATGAACCAATCAAAGAGCCATCTTAATTAGCATCTTAAGACATTATTTAAGATGGACTAAAATAAGAACGGACTATGAATACCGCCTTTAAGAATCTTATTATTTATTAAAACTTTTTATTGTTAATTAAATATAATTTTACCTAAAATTGATCGCTGTTAGCGAGTTATAATTTATAAAAATATACAAAGACACGTTAATTCACAAACCCGTTTGGTTTCTTTCAAATGCACTGCGAATCTTTTATTATTGAATACGTGATAAAAAACAGGTGGCGGAACGAGCTTGAGATCTCTTCGCGAGGGAAATGGAAAACTTACGTGGTACCTCGCGAGTGCCGTGCTCGCGAGAAAGATCAGGACGATGAGACACAGCCGCATAGTTCGAACCGTCTGCGGGACGACTTCCACGACTGATGCGAACCAACGTTTCGACGATGTTCTAACCCCGTTGGATTAGATTCCCACCGATTCTACTCGCTTCTTCCGCTGCGTCTCTTCTTCGGTCCCATCGTAGTCAGTCCCACGAAGTACCGCTTGGAATCATAGGAGTTTATGTAACCGCGAGGCGGGAGTAAGAATTGCTGGACAAAATTCCGAGAATGTGCGTCGTGATGTAAGTGCGTACAAACGCTCGTGTATATCACGTTATCTCGTTTGGTCTCGTCTTGTCACCACAGATCTCATTACCGAAAGATATGCGCCTGTCATTGACTTAGAAGATCCCCCATGATGCAGTTAGAAAGAAATGAAAAAATGGTACTGTATCATCGTGTTGCATATTTAGACAAGCAATCCAGGACATCTCAAAAACCTAAACCTTTAAAATCCAATTTTTTCATAGATTTTAAACTTTTTTTAACAAACATTTTTTACAATTTTACAATTTTATGGTAATTTTTATTTATTATATTATATTATATGCACATATATTATATATTTATTTATTTATATGGAGATATTTTCTATTCTAAATCGTATAAACATGTATCAATTACAAGCAACATTGAGTTAACTTGACTTATCGGGTTAGTTACTTTCGCTTTCGTTGGCCTAATTATTGAGTCCAATCTATTTGTTAAATACAGTTAGTCGCTGTTTATTCTACTACCAAGCGTAGCTAATGATCGCATGGTTCATCGGCGCGATAATGAGTTCAATAAGTAAAAAGACGAAGCGAGAGAGTATTGAACGGAAAGCTTTATATGACCGCGAGTGCTGCAATTCGATATGCATCCGATATATGTTTTGTTAAATTATTTAGAATTATAAATTATTTTGATATCACACTTTTAAACTTTATTATATAATGAAGGTGAGGAAAGGATTAAAGGAATTGAGAAGCTGAATAAGAAAAATGAAAAGTTAAAGTTATTTAAACGCGTCTGAATGTATACACATTACACGTATCACTTTGTGTATTATTCTTTCATTACGATAGACAAGACTTTTACAATTCGTAAAAAAGTTGTGGGTAAATGTTTCGCATAGGCACTCCGGTGTACACATAGCACGTATAATACAACGGTTGTAATAAATCGCTATCTAAAAAACGACTATGTCAACGTCTCTCCTTCACTCGCCCGACTAAAATCTAAATCATAAAAGTGGGAATGCTATTTACAACATGTGGTCAACGCGACTACGTGCTTAATCGTTAGATCAGGATCCCTATTCTCATCTATGGGCGATCTATCGAATGACTAGGACGCACGTGTGTCTGAATCGCTCGTCAATTAATTACAATTAATTACAATTAATTACAATTCGAGCAGATTCCTTGGCGAATGCGGCGATCAATCTCATTGCGCGACACATTATTACACTTACATGAAATCTTTATCATAACCGTCGCCATTCGCATAATTTGCGTAATCTTGCCGTCTGTTGAATCTTTGAAAAAAAAGGGATATTTAATACCGATTGAGATAATATTTGTCGCGATGATAAATTAAAAGCAAAAATTTTCTTACGACGGCGGATTACGTTTACGATGGCGAAACGGATTCGACTAGTTCGACACTCTGACCGGACACCAATTTCTGGCACCGCAAACGAATGAAAGAAGAAGACCTTATTTATCGCCATTATAATGAATTCGCTGCTGGAGAACGCTGCCAGCAGCCTACAGTAAACTACAGGCGCATTGCTCGACTGAATAACGTTTGTTGGACGTTACATACAAACGATATTCTAATTAGAATTAATACAGCAAAATTCATCACATAATAGGTGGGTACTAGTGAACAACCAATGGGTCTAAGCTTATTTCTATTATATGAAATATATAGTGTATTATATATTTTTTTTCTTTATATATATATATATTTTTTTTTTTTGGCAGGGTGATCGCATTGCCTGTAGCCGGCTTTTTGCGGCAATTCCGAATCACAGACACACGCCTTCGCTTTTGAGAATGTCCTGACGCAACGCTTGAAACCCGACGCGTAGTTGCGTTTTTGAAGATTCTTTCTCGAAGGCAACAACAAATCTCACGTCGAATGCTGCATCGTTCTCTTCGTTATTTTATGATTGTAGCAGTAAAAACTTTCCACTCGATTACATAGGAGAAAAATATTTTTACATCCTCGTTGAAGTTCACTATATTTCGCGCACCTATCAGTCATACGTATTTACATCTTAGAAAGTTTGATAGCTGCCTCGAAGAGCCTCAGAGAATCTCATTTAATCCTAAAATAATAACACGATGGCACTGCAATTCAGTCCTCGATGATCAATCTTGATCGCTTAACGCCGCGTGATAGCGATGCTACGCGCCTTTAAATAGATAAGGTCACGAGTTTGGCGTTTAACGGACGCCCCCGAAAATTTCTTTCCACGCGTTCATCCGTACACGCCAATTCTGTCGAAGCTATGTCGCTGTGTCGAGTTGCGCGCGTGCTAAAACACGATTCGATACTTATGTAAGGCACGACTTTACATCAATGTAATTTGCGCTAAATTAAACACGCTTACAAATTTAACGTTATTACGACTAATCGCTAGATGGTCCCTAATTTGGAAGATACTTGGAATAATATTTGTCATACACAACAGTGTCGATTCTTTGCTAATTCGCAAGATTATTCGGCATTATCAAACGTAATCTTTGTTCGATAGTATAAAATTGTAATAAATTAATGCGAAAAAGGAAAATTGACAGTCTCATAATGTTTGATAATGCCTGTCAATTATACCGTCAATTATCAAACTGAAACCAACAATATTGGTAATAGTTTCATATATATATATATATATACATATATTGACAAAATGTTAATGAAAAAAAGATTCTCTTTTTAAATTAAAGGCACTTCAAATTAAAGTAATTTATGATTAAAAGAAACATCGGTAATTTTGACTTTTACAATCGCTCTAACAATTCAAACCTTCAATTTCTCAATTAAATCTTTTGATACTATAATCTCGAAAAAAATAAGAGCTGATTATTGTTTCGATTGACGAGATTTTTTAACAAATAATTAAAGAAATTTCGAAACTTGCTTTAATTTTATATAAAATTTTATTTAAAAAGATGTTTTAGGAGAGTTACTTTTTTTTAATTTTTTACGGAATATCGAGCTGTAGTTCTAGGATACGTTGAAATCTCCTCAACTGATTAAAATTCATACTAAAGTAAGTATGAAACAAAATCTGAATTATTTTTATTGATTGGTTGACTTGATTTGATCGCTAAGTATTGGCCGATTTTTAAGCGATGGCCAAGTTCAAAGTCATCGTGGTGGGTCTTGAAAAAGACGAGGATCTCGTCGGATCGGGATAATCGAATGTAGCCGAGGAACTTTTGACGTCATTTTCGAAACGGAGATGCAAGTGCTCCGGATTGGGTGATATCACCGACGTTCTGATGACCATTCTGGATACGTATTCCGGATCCTTGGTTACCAAATCGGGACTCTGCGTCTCTGGATCTTCCGAGGGTGTCTTCTCTCTGCAAGGTCGTTTCGATGGTGCGGCTGCAGACGTATCTGACGTTCTTGTGTGCCTGATGATCGCGGAGAATGCCGACGACGAGTCTTTCTGTTCACGCTCGAGTCCCAATCGAGGAACTATGACGCTGGTAGGCGATGCTGTGACGCACGACGACGTTTGCGTTCTGTTCAAGGACAACGATAATGGAACACTCGATTTTATCGACGATGATGATGTCCTCTGCTGCTCGATCTGATCGGACTTATCTGGCCGATCAGTGGACGATCGGTGATGAGAACGCATACAGGACGATTCCTCGTGTTTGTAGAGGTATGATTTCAGAGCGAAAGCCTTACCACAACGACCGCACACGTGGGGTTTGGTATTCGAATGCGTTTGTATATGAGCTCGTAAATTTGACTTGTCAGCAAAAGCTTTGCTGCAAATGGTGCACTTGAAAGGTTTCTCGCCTGGAAGAAGTAAAGTAATTATTGAAAATATTATTGAGTTTCGTATGTATATTGTATAATATAACCAGATTCAGTTTCACCAAAACTATGCTTTCTTTTATGTGCTAATGAAAGTTATATTGAAAGTAATTATAAAAAAAAAATGATTTAAAAAATCTTAAACGATAATCGAAGAGCTTATAATATTTTAAAAGAATACCTAACAGATTTAAATACTCTTTAAAAGCATAAATATAAATATAATATAAATATATAACATAAAAATATATAAAAAGAATAGTTTAAGAATAAAAAAAAATTAAAAGTAGAAAATAAAAAATGAAGTATATATTTCGTATTTTTAAATTTATTCTTTCTTGGCTGAAGATATCAATTAATTATTCTTAATGTACTTAACGCATTTGAAAAACGTTAATATATTGTTGCGTGTGACTTCATAGTTGTATATCTGTAATTTGCACAATTGGAAATAGTACCGCATATTTAAGCGTGCCAAAATCACAAATCGTGAATGATTAATTTGAATTCATCTTCATTGAAAGCCCGTTAAACTCACTGTACTCTCTTCAAAAATAGTTCGCCTTAGTTTATTTACGTAGGTATCTATTATTGTAAGTGAACGCAATCGGTCATGGACAAAAAACAACTTCGAGAGTCGAACGATACTATTAAGTTAATCGAGTATTTATTAAATTGGTAACAAGAATTATTAATTCTTTCTTTTTCCAGATGTCGATTATACGTGTATAATTTTGATAAATTATATAATTATCGAAGTTATAAAGAAAAGCGATAAATAAAGTGGTTTTGTGGACAATAATATATTAATATATACCTGTATGCGTGCGTATGTGTCCCTGCAGCAGCCACGGTCTAGAGAAACACTTGCCGCAATAGTGGCACTTGCATCCTTGATTATGGGTCCTCACGTGCATGCTAAACGCCGGCATGCTGACGTAGACCTTGTCGCAATGTGGGCACCTCCTGGCCTTTTTATCGCCCAGTGACCTGTGCGTTTGACGGTGTCTGGCTAGAT